CAAGGTGAATCTGGATTAGGTGGCTGTTGCCAAAGCCCTGCTGGAGAAAAACAAGATGAAAGCAGGCAATGCTCTGGAAGGAATTCTCCTCCTCCTCTACGTGAAAAAATAGTAGAAGGGAAACCATACAATTGTACAAAATGTGCAGAAAGCTTCAGTACAAGCTGTTCCCTTGCATTGCATAAAAAGATTCACAAAGCAGAGGATCCACGCAAATGTCTGGATTGTGGAAGGACCTTCAGTCAGAAAAGTGATCTTAATTCACATAAGAAGGGCCACGAAGAGAGGAAGCAACATCGGTATGTTAATAGGGAAAAAAGCTTCGGAAGCAGTGCCTCCCTTACTTCCCATCAAAGCCTCTACAGAGACGAGACGTTGCATCAACTCAGGGAGGGTAGAACGAGGATTACTCAGAGCAAGGAACCAAATTCCCGGGAAAAAAAGCCCACTAGGAAGAAATCATATGAATGCCTTGAATGTGGGAAGAGCTTCCACTATGTGAGTGTCCTCACTTGCCATAATAGGACCCATACAGGGGAAAAGCCATATCACTGCATGGTGTGTGGAAAGAGCTTCAGTCAAAAAGGTCATCTTAAGTCACACGAGAGGATCCACACGGGAGAAAAACCCTTTCAATGCCTGGAGTGTGGAAAGAGCTTTCGTACATCCAGCACCTTAATTTCCCATCAAAGTATGCACAGAGGAGGGAAACCAAATCAATGCACCCAGTGTGGGAAGTGCTTCAGTCAAAAAAGTCACCTTAATATCCATAAAAGAATCCACACAGGTGATAAGCCCTATAAGTGCACCGAGTGTGACAAATACTTGACCACGTTGTGGGGCCTCACTTGCCACAAAAGGCTCCATTCTGGGGAGGGACCATATAAATGCTTGGAGTGTGGAAAAACCTTTAGCAACACCTCTTCTCTAACCATACATAATAGGATGCATACTGGGGAAAAGCCTTATAAATGCCTGGAGTGTGGAAAGAGCTTCAGTGATAAAAGTCAACTTAAGTCACACGTGAGGATCCACACGGGAGAAAAACCATTTCAATGCATGGAGTGTGGAAAGAGCTTCTGTCGCTCTGTATCCCTTACTGACCATCACAGAATCCACACAGGAGAGAAACCATACAAATGCCTGGACTGTGGAAAGAGCTTCAGGAAAAAAGGTCATCTTAAGTCACATGAGAGGATCCACACGGGAGAGAAACCCTTTCAATGCATGGAGTGTGGAAAGAGCTTCCGTACATCCAGCACCTTAATTTCCCATCAAAGAATGCACAGAGGAGGGAAACCAAATCAATGCACCGAGTGTGGGAAGTGCTTCAGTCAAAAAGGTCACCTTAATATTCATAAAAGAATCCACACAGGTGAAAAGCCCTATAAGTGCACCGAGTGTGACAAATGCTTCACCAATTC